GTTGTACTTTATTTACTGCATCGACAACTACTCAACGTCGCATTTTTGGAATATTTCGGTGATTTTTCCTCTTTTCACAAAGAATATTCCGTGAAAAATTCAAGTCATGGTGTAGGTTCGATCTCCTTTTAAATATAGAAAAGGAGCAGAGATTTCGAAACGCCGCTACCGAGATACGCATTTTTAAATTTCATCGTCGAAGTAGGCATGTGCCTACCCTCGCAAAGGCTAACCTAGCCACAATTGCATCGCATTCTTTCTCTCCACCAGCCTAGACTCATTTCGTCTCTGCGCGCACAGCCGCAAAGGCACAATACTAGTGATACCACTATTCGAACTCCAAAGTGGCCATTTTGCCTACCCTATCAGATGAAGGCGAACCTAGCCGCAATCACATCTCATTCGTTCTCTTTACTATATTCAATATACGAGTATTTCGTCTCTGCTTGCGGAGCCACAAAAGTAAAGTATTAGAGTATGATGGGGGAGGAGGAGGCTATTCCTTCTGTGCCCTCCTCGAATTTCACCCCTGAAAAAGAATGTCTCGACTATTTTTTTGAAAAATGAATCTCGTGCCAGCACGATTTTCCCTGAAAATTGAAAAAATCTCCTGGCGTCCGGCAAGTTGCCGAGAGAGCTCTACACAATTTCACACTGAAAGGAAAATTCTCGGCGTTTTTACCACGGTCCGTTGGTATCTTTACCATCTCACTTTTTTTACTAATTATTGGTAATTTTACCAAAAAAACTGGGATCAAATAGAACCCTGAATTCTTGGTAATTTTACCCTTTTCTTAGTAAATACACCGAGATTTTTTCTTCAGTGTACAAAATTCTCAGGAGATGAGGATGCAACTTGCAAAAGCTAAACCAAAAATTCAACGAGGAATTTTGAAATTTGTACCCGGAGAATATTTTTTCAGAGTCTCAAAAAAGACTCTTCGATAACTGTATGAGTTCAATACCCTCTTAATGATTATTTAAAAGATAGTTTCAGTAAATTTCCTAAAAATTCACGAGGTTCTCAAACTCCTCAAAACTTCGCATTCGTGTATCTGGGTATCGGCGGGAAGAGGATATCCAAGGAGCCAAATCGTTGGAAGATAAATATGTGTTCACTGATCTTAGTGAGGGACAGCGGACACTAGGAGTACAATCCCCCAGGCTTAACTCAATAGCTGAAAGCAGAAGCAATATGAAAGCCTCATGCAAACTTGTGTTATATGAGTCACTACCAATATAGAGGGATTTGCTCTACAGCAAAATCCGACCATAAACAGGATTGTGTGACGCATGCAACAGGCCCGAAGTAAAAATGTATATTAAACGCAGTCTATCAATGCTCAAAAAAGGAAGAGAAGAGGTTAAATAAGTCTGTAACAAGAGAAAAACAGCCACCAGGGTTCAATTTTACTTAAAACTGTTAGCAACATTGCCTCTTTTATTAAATCCATTAAACATATCGATATTAGGTGGGGCAAGCTGCCTTAAAAAGAATCGATTATTTTGCATATGTAGCAGGTAATTAGCAATCGTCGACAGTCTGCAAGCATTTACATTTTTTCCGATGCGAATCAGCTTAATGAAGGCCTGATAGTTTAAGGCCTTCAAAAGCATGATCGCGTCTTGGAGCGCCTTCATGTTTTGCGATACTCAACGCTTTGCCACGGTGTTAGTTTAGTTGCGTGACCCAACTTAACCCAACTAAAGTCATGGCTTCCACCACACGCTCTCGCCAGTTTACCTGTTACTAGGTACCATTCTTTCATGGAGGGAAAAATGTCCACTCTCATTAAAGGCAACGTAATCAGTACTTTAATCTTGTCCCTATATTTCTGAAATATATTATTTTCTATTTATTCACTTACGACTTTCAAATTGCCGGCGATGGAGAATTTGCAAGGGTCTGAAATTTGATGAATTTCCTGTTTAAGTGGAATCCTCTGAGTGAACTGAACACGAAGATACCCTTGATTCATAAATCGAGCAATTATTAGAGGAGATATGACAAAATAACCGATTCTGCTAAAATACATGTGTTTAAATGGGAAATGCCGCCAGATGACGTCACAAGGCGGCACATTTTCTCACTTTTAAATCAATTTTTCTCCAATTTCCCGTGTCAGAAAAAAATTATGAAAAATATTGCGAACTCAGCTCATTAGGCACATTCAGATGAAGCAATAAAAAAATTGCGACACATACATTCAAATGGAGGAAAAACAGTATTGCCAGCTTTCAAGAATCGCCACTAATGTTCTGTATCTCTTGTGTGCAACAGACCCGTTCGAACAGTCCATAACAAGAGAAAAGTTTCCAAGATGCACTAAACGCGAGATACTAGTGGTTTTGTCGGTTAGAATGGTTAAAAAACCACATCTGTCATCTTCTGACTCAAAAGCAGGAGGGTTACTCGGACCGACCGACGTGGTCGGTCGGGAGATTTGTGGCGAACGGGAAAAAAGCAGCCGTGCTACGCTACCTCGCTGAGGAAGAACGGCATATGAGCTTTCAGACGTTGTCAAATCACCTTGAATAGTAAACAATGGACCACTAGATAAGGTACGAATTTCAGCATTCTGATACATGTTTCTTAACCAAAATTTCACGTAGAACACGATGCGCTCAACGAAAATTACCGAAATTAACTCCTTACGAAGATATTTAATGATTCTTGATGCGTGAATTCAAACCATCCGCTCATGAAAACTCAATGCTCTACGTGATTCACATCGAGCGCTAAACGTTATCATGACAGTCTCTGCGATATACAAATCTGGCAACCTCGATCTTGACGCTTCGGCTCAGCTATAGCAAATTGCTTATCATTTGAACAACACATGGTGGGAAATGAACATTGCTCCATTGAGGAGCTTGCTGAAACCGTTGTAGTGCGCAATTTGACTCACGTAGAGCTTTGAGTTTCTTGTGAGCGGGCAGTTCAAATTCCTCGTAACCAATGTGTAATAAAAACGTTAATATCTTTGTTAGGAGTTGGTTTCAGTAATTTTCGTTATGAGAATCGTGTTTTACGTAAAATTCTGGTTAAGAAACATGCGTCAGATTGCTTAAATTCGTACCTTGTCTAGTGGTCCATTTTCAAACAAACTATCCAGAGGTTGTTTTAACCGATCTTTCAGATTCGCGAGCTATTCAGTGTAAAGTATATCCAAAAATGTCAGTGAGCAGCATTCATTCCCTTCCACAAAATTAAATAGTTTATTAGGGGCGATTTGGCAACATTCGATCGTTTAAATGACGTTTCACCTCAGCCTGGAAGCACAAAATGCATTTTGACGTGAGCCACGGTTAGCAGAAGTTCTCACGCGCTTGAGGGATCATTCTAGAGAGTAATCTTTGGCTCGTAGCACGGCCAAAACGGGAATGTAGCGATAAGACTGCGCTGTTACCCAAGAGAGCAATAACCACCAAACATTTACTGTATCTAATTCCAATTCTGAAACTTTACATCTAATTTTAATGGGCCAACTGATCCCGCTGAAATAAGAGCAAATTGCCTGGATTATAGACAGCAAGAGCTGCATTCGTGCATCACGGAAAAAAAATTGATTGCCGTATGATTTAACGATTAAAAATCGTTAAGAAAACATGTCCGACAAGTTTTATAAGTACATTTTACAATGGTGGAAAGCTAATTTAACCACAGGGGTGGTTAAATATTACCTTTTTTTAAAATTGTAAAATCTACACTGAAACATGTCGGACACTTTTTTTAACTACAAAATTGTTAAATCAGCAATTTCATTTTTTCTGTGCAAAAATTCACGTCGTTCACGATATAACAACAGTAAATTCGCATTATATAGGGAATTAACAGTGTCTCCTCCAGTTTCAAGTGCACTGAATCCTTTTTTGCTGACTTCTGGCCATATTTATGTACTCTTAATGTGACCCGTAGCCGCTCGAGCGTAGAATTTGGCAAGTGCAAAATGGCTGTTTTGCTAGGCATCCAATCCATAAGTGACGTTTTTATGGTTCAAGGAAAAGCTCCGAAGAATTACTAAAAACACTTAAAACATGATGTTTAAAATTCTTAATTTTCTTATTTTCAGAAATTTTTCTAATTTCCCCCCTATTCTTGGAAGCAAACTTATTATGAAAACTTGCAAGTTCCTTTGATTCCCTATCGGAGTCTTTGAAAAGTGAGCGGATTTTTTCCGCGACTTACAGCAGAGTAATTAATGTTTACCTCCATCCCAAGTAACACTGTGCAACGAAAATATTTAAATAATTGTGCTATTTCATGCTAATTTTTTACCATGAAATTGAAATATTTGTAGATAATCCGGCCGACGAATGCAGATTTTAAACGACCAATAAAATAAGTTCCATGTCTGAGAATGATGGGCAATTTGCAATGCAAACAAAATTGCACCTTATATAAATTATTGCGATGAATTTCAATTAGAGAAGCCCCTTGAATGAGTGAATAGACAACATGCACAACACTCTGACACATTAGCGATCATTTCACACCATGTGATTGTAATCTGTGCTACTTGGGATTCAAATAATTTGATGTCATCGAGTCTTGACAAAACCACCTAACTTCAAAGGGGGGGGGGCGGCCTCCAAAGGATGAGAGAAGAGAGAAGGACTTCCCGATTTTTTACAGTTCTTTCCTAATTTTACAGTGGTTTTATCCCCTGACAAATCTCAATTTTTCTTGATTTTTCAAGTCATACGAACCGTGCTTTAAGCTGATTACCGTCGATGCGACGAAAAATAGAGCAGCGGTTGAATAAAATCTTCTTAACTATGTTTATAGTTGTCTACGATTGTAGCAAGTAGAAAGTTTTTTGAACTATGAGGTCCTTTTCTGAAAGCTTCACTTTCAGACTTACTGCTCTCTTGGATGACAGGGCAGGAATGATAGAGACGAGAGCGGGTGGAAACGAGAGGGGTAATGAAAAACGTAGTTACGAAACGGTTGGTTTTCTGTTAGGCGACAAATTGGCGGCGGTCGATGGAATATTTACCAAGATTTTTACCTGCGGTGCCCATGTTGAGGATGCTGATCTCGCCGAAGTAGGAACCGGCTTTGAGCGTGGCCAGCACCGTCTTCCCGTTGTCTGCCACCACTTGCAATCGTCCCCTATTTACAATGTACATTTCTTTCCCCACCTCACCTGTGCCAAATGCAACAAATCATGAGATCACACTAACTTAAAAAGATTTAAGAGTCATCGCAGCAAATGGCGATTAAGGTGATTCGATGGACGCCATGTTTTGTGTCAGAACGGCATGCGATATATCGCATCAATTGGTTCCATCTTTTCAGCTACTCGTCATTTTTCTCCAATTTTGAGATCGCAATTCTGTTGTCAGGAGACTAATGCACTCACTTACCAATTTTAACAAAGAAATTCAACGTAATAAAAGCGTGGTTTTTTTAGAGAAAAAACATCGCATTCGATACTGATTTCGAAACTGCACTCGAATGCGATATTTTCTCTCTGAAAAAACTACGCCTTTATTACGTTGAATTTCTTTGTTAAAATTGGTAAGTGAGTGCTTTAGTCTCCTGACAACAGAATTGCGATCTCAAAATTGGAGAAATATGACGAGTAGCTGAAAAAATGGAACCAATTGATGCGATATATCGCATGCCGTTCTGACACGAAATATGGCGTCCATCGAATCACCTTAAGGAGTTTTTTTCGAATAGCACAGGCACAGTTTTTACACTGTTGCCCAGGCTGTTCATCAATGTATGCATTTTTCATAGAACCGATCATACATGTATGTACAGTGTGATTTTAAAGTCCTGCGCCACCCTTCTAAATTTTCTTTTTTTATGCCCCTTCCAAAGCTGCAACACAACATAGGGGTTGAAAAAAAATTTAAGTCGTGCCCCCCCCCCCAAATCAAGGGTTCCCTCAAAAATTTTGGGGATAAAAAGTAGCTCACTTTCATTCAAGAACATTATCCAAGTTTCAACCCGATGGCATCATTGGCAGAACAACTTACGGGGTTGTTGCAGGACTTTTGAATCGCACTGTACTATCGACGAATTTAGTTTTGCGCATAGGCCGCTCCAAATAAAATGTAAACTGTGCGACGAGGCGCAGCGCAGCGTGGCGCGTTTCGGACATATCGGGTGCTGACTGGACCTATCTCATCTCATGCCAACGAGGAAAACGGAGGCACATGGACGATTGACAAATCTACTACTTTTTCAAGAAAATATCCCTCAGACAAGCATCTACAGGTGCAAACTATGATAGACGCACAACACTGCGGTCACTCGAAAATGGAGCTAAAATTTTATGAGGTGCAACTGATTTTTTCTTCTAGACGCCGCGCGCCGGCCGCCGCGCCGGCAGGTTACATGGAGTTCTTTGGGACAAAGACGTATGCGCGCATCCGCCCTTTTTCGGGAGAACGCGTTTACTGAAACTGGATTCTTTCTAGTTTCAGGGAATATACATAGTGTACTAAAAAGTCCCCCCTCCCTTTTTTTTTACATAGCGATCCACGTTATCATGTAGGAATCATAGGGGAATGTAGTCACAATGTTTCGTTTTTGCAAGTATACTCTCAAAGACTTGTTCTTTTAAATTAATTAAATTTCGTGCGAAGATATTGGCTACAACCAGCGCTATACACTTTTGAACTTTCAAAAGCGGTTTCCGCGGAACTACTTTTTCTAGTATACGCCCTCAGCGCTATCAATTGCATTGGGATTAACCATAAAATTCCTAGCGTATGTTCAGAGGAAGAAAAATAAGAAAACTCAGTTGCACTCCTATGTTATGCACGACAGACAGCTTTGAGTCCATCTGCTTTTAATTTTTTACGACTCGGAAACCGTCTACTTATTCTGGCAGTAACCATAAAATATTTGGGAAAATTTATTTTTAACGCCTAATTTTGAATTTATTGTAATCCTTGAATTTTTGTCTCATTTCCGATCTACGAGGAGTAAAAACTTCGTCATGGCATTGCAGAGGTGTAGACTATTTGAACGGGGGACCTGCAATCATGCATGTCATTTTTTTAATACCATTTTATCTGTTATAAGTTCTTCATATTTGTTCTAGTTGTTAAATTCCATTTCAGGAGACTCGTAAAAGGATTTCACTCGAAAATAAATTCCTCACATTTTCTCAAGGACACCAAAAGAAATAGAGGGAGAAAAGATACAGTTCCAAGAAAGTTCTGAAAAATGCGATTGTTTTTAGACTATTCGTTCCCCAACAAGAAACTAAGCTTTTTCCTACCTCTTTGAATCTCTCATGATTCTTTATTTGGATTGAGGAAAAGGATCGTCACTTAGTTAGCGACTTTACAGCCTTTCCGACAATTTTCAATTAAAACACAATTCGACGTAATTTTTGTACTTAAGGAAGTATCTACGAAAAGCGCAAACGATGATGTTAACTCGTTTACCTGCAGTGGAAAAAAAGTCTCTTGGATTCGGAGTTCAGACTCTCAAAAAATACTCTCGAATCAATCGGATTTTTGCATGAACAAATAGAAAATCCGCTTGAATTAAGAGGCTGGGCTCGACTCAAGGAAAACGATTGAATCAAAAGTATTTTTCTTGTCGAATCTTGAGTCTGGATTTTGGATCCAAGATACTTTTTTTTCCATCCGAGGGAAAAAATTACGTAAAACTGAACATTTTGAAATCTTGCCACCGACAGACATCGATTCCAAGTTTGCTACTGCGCATTGCTGACAAGTGAGAAAAACTATGGGTTAAATGGGAACATTCACCCAACAGCGCCATTTTGTGAGGAGAGGTGGGTGAAAAGTTGACCCACTGGACTAGATGACACTTTATTTCTACTCCAATTTGCTAACTGTTACTCTCTTTTACTGCACAATCACTAGGTATTTCTAACTATCATCAATTTTTCCGGATATATTTTTAATGCGGGGCAAAGGTGAAATTAAAAATCTGTCTATGATATTATGACATTAACTTACCGCAGAATTGCAGGAATATTTCATGCAGGAGTCTTTCAGTAAAATGAAGGAGAGTGGGTGATGAGACGGTCTTATTCAAAAGTGGTCATTTCCAATCTCCCCCTGTTCTACGAAATACTTTCAGGGTCGATAGAGGATCACCTCTCAAGTCCAAAACACTGACGATTTTTGAAATCAAACAATTACGGATAGAGGGGAAGGGGGGGTCAAACTTAAAACCCTAAACTAGCATAACTCGTGAACGGCTTGTCGTAGAGAGATGATCTTGGTGTCAAAATTTAGAGAAAACCGCCGATTTTAACATGATGATGACAAAATTGGTCCATTTTGAAAATTTCACCCATTGCTGTCACGTTGGCGTAGCTCAAATTTTCAATTTCTTTCATTTTTAGTCGGGGCGATACCTTTTTAGGTCACTCCTAGACAAAATCATTCGTCAAAAATGACAAGATCAGGATAAATGATTAATATGCGATGGATACAGGGGAATCAAAGTTTTCGATCATAAAACAATTTATGTTTAACACCTTCAACGGTTCTCTGGGTATAATAAGAGAAAACAAGAGGAGCTGCTAATAAAATCGTACCATTTGAGCGTTTTAAAAAATTTAAGTCCATCCTAGAGAAACAATTTGAAACAGAGTCATGATTTTTTAAAGTTGATGCAGCGAGCGTCAGCTGAGGCTACTTCTGTAACATTCATATGTCTCGATATTTTCTTCTTTTTTAATCATTTTCTTAGGGAATGAGCTAATGGGGTATCGCAATTCGTGGTCGGTTTGGGGGCATGAGTGATCTTGGGACTCGGAACAAACCAGGTTCTAGTGTACCGCACCCATTTTGAAAAATCATATCTCTCCTCCAATTTGTTTTCCGAGGATGAACTTGTGCTTGTTTTGAAGCTTAAACGGTCTCCTTTCACCAGAAAATATTTTTGTTACTTTTAACTGCGAATCCCTCAACGTTACAGCTGAAAGTGTGAAAATTTGAATTACGGCAACGTGGCAGCAATGGATGAAATTTTCGAAATGGACCAATTTTTAAAACATTGCCTGAAAGCATGTGGTATTTTCTAAATTTTGAGACCAAGATCACCTGTCTACAACAAACCATTAGCGAGATATGCGAGTTTAAATTGTTTACTTTGACTCCCCTCCCCTTCCCCCCGGGATTGTCCGATTTCAAAAATCGACAGTGTTTTGGACTCGAGAAGTAATCCTCTATCAACTCTGAAAATATTTCGAAGATCAGGCCAAGGTTGAAAAAAGGCAAAGCTTTGTTTACAGTCCGAAGAGCCAAAAACGTGAATTCTGACATTGAATGAGCGAAAATGTCTGTGTGTGTTTCATGTGCGTCTGTGTTAGTGACTACGCACTCACAGCGGAACGAGTGCGTCTTCATGAGACTGTTATCAGGCAACGCGCCGCGCCGCTCCGTCACTAAATAGTCACCAGAGACTCTGCGCAAAACTAAATTCGTCGATAGTACATTATTACATTACCATACATTATTACACAAAAAGTTCCGCACAAAATTATGGAGAGACATTGAACCAAATTTTGACAAAAAGGTGTTTTCTTAGCAAGAGGCACTGATTGCCACCTGGGAACAGTGACATTTCAAACTTTCATTTATTTGGAGCACCCTGATGACCCCCCTTTGAAAGACACCGGTGAACTCTAGCGTGTTTTTCTGAAAATCATTTATTACCGGAGTCTATCTGGCGAAAGGAGTTGCATATTAGACAATCCAAAAGAAAATTAAGATGGGAAATTTCATAATTCTGGCTATCGGATGAATGGTTTTTGCTTGCGTTATCAACAGCAGAGCAGACCTTGGATTTTTTTTAGTTCAAACCAGACAACTTTCGGCTGAAATACCCATTCATTCCTTGAGGCTGGCAAAAAAACCACCGGGAGGTAGTATTATTTATCCATTCGATTTTCCAGGCTCATTGTTCAGAGGATTTGGCGTAGAACATCTCTATTCAAGGTTACTTCCTGGCTTTTCCGATAGCGGCGCTTTTTCCGCACAATTTTACACACCTGTTGGTCTGCACGAGAGGGAGACAGGAAAAAAAAACACTCAATTATGGAAATCTTCGCAGAAATGAAACCTCTGAAAGCTCAAACTACTCGAGACGTTCCCTTATTACGTTTTGTGAGAAAAAAAGTGCAGATGAAATCGGGAAAACTCTCAATGAGACCTCTGGACTCGCGGCGATAAAGATATCGTTTTATATCCGCTTTGACAGCAAACCTTGGGAGAAGTTTTGCAAATTGGACGCAAAAGCGTTTAGTTTAAATGAGATCTCCAGTCGTAAAAAGAAAGGAACATTGTTGCCGCTGGGAAAACTTGTCAGTATTACAGGTACGACTTGAGATTTTTATACTTAGAGCAAAAAAGGGAACAAAATTAAAGAAATGGAAGGTAATGAGCAATTGAGGCGTTTGGTGCAAAAAGGGCATTTCTTGGTTGCGGTGTTTTAGAATCTCTAGTGCTAATTCCTATTTTAGAGAGGGAACCATTGGGTCAATTTTCTGAAATTTTACATGTTCAGCACTGTAGAATCACAAAGAATATTCGGTAAAAGTTACAGAAAATTGCATGCATTTGCTTCAATTATAATGGGTGAAACGTTAGCTGAGATTTTGAGACACTGTGACCGAAAAATGCCCTTTTGGCGCGCAGAGCTTCAATTTAATGCGGAGAACTTACCCTTTCTACAAATATAATCACCCGGAGAAAATAAAACAGGCCGGAGCCGCAGAACGAGTTCGCATAAAAAACCAGCCTCTGTATTTTGAAAAATTTCTACCCTTTTGAGTGTGTCCAAATGCACGTTAATTGCTATTTCAGCTTTGAGCTTATCTGCAAACAAAGAAAACACTATTAATACGCAGATTATGGTTGAATGGGAAACTTTTCTTGATAAAATTGAAGGCATTTAAGTTGGAGAGTCTATCTACGTTGAGAATTTTGAAAAAAACCATTGTGCTATTCTGCCGTGCTAAGGAAAAACGCCGTATGAACATTCGAGAGTTGCCACATTTCCTTCGATAAAATGTTTATTTTTTAGGAAAGTTATGAATATTTTTCTTTGAAATTTTCAGAATCTTTAGGTAAAATCGCGAGCTAAATTATCTACAAAATTGGCAGGCGAATATTCATAAATTGACCAGGAAATTCGCGTTTTATCCAAGGAAATTTGGTATCGCCTGAAGGTTCATACGGCGTTCTTCCTTGGCACGACAGTATTAGCTGCTAACATACGTTGAATAGGGAACCATAACAAACTGGAAGAACGTAAAAGTAAAACAGGCGTAAAAAATGCGGGGTGCTCGCAAAAGCAATTAGGGCTTGATTGAAAGCCAAAAGCAGTGGCTTTTCACGCTCGGGCAGATAAACTTCTTTTGCGTCTTGCACTTAGATTACATTTTATAGAAACTAACTATTTCTGACTTTTTCTTAAAAGCGACTATTTGCATAAGGATATTAGGGGTAAATATGTTGTTATTGAATAAGGCAGAGAGTATAGTTCCTTAAGGCAAAATGTAGTCAACTAACCGATTGGGGAGGCACTGTGTCATCATAATACCAGGCTAAGGAAAAACGCCGTATGAACCTTCAGGCGTTGCCAAATTTCCTTTGATAAAAAACGTATTTATTGAGAAAGTTGTAAATATTTTTCTACCAATTTTTTAGATGATTTTGTTCGCAATTCAATCTAAAATATCTGAAAATTTCAAGAAAGATTTTGTAGAGCTTTCTTCCAAAATAAATGTTTTTTCAGGATAAACTTGGCAATACTCAAATGTTCATACGGCGTTTTTCCTTGGCACGACAGTACACACCAGGAAAACTCCTCTACAAGACTTCGACAAAGTTTTTTTTTTTTTCCTTCTTCTTTCTCGTTCATTATTAAAGCCGTAATTCTTGGGGATAACGCTTGGCCTGGGCGAGCTTCCTATACGTTCACCCTATTAGATACGTTGTTTCTTATACACTTCATAAGGAAAGACTCCTATTTCCTTGAATTTTTTCAAACTGATGTTTTAGTATTTTCACTTTCCGTGACAGATAACATTGATGATAGGTGAAAAGGTTCCTCCTCGATGAGTTTAGAAGTAAATATTTAGACATCCCAGAGCCCGGCCTCTTGGTTGCCGCGGAGAGCAGCCCCGAGTCGGGGCCGCTTGGTTGCCAGGGGGGGCAGCCCCTGGGGTAGGGGTAGGGCCTCTTAGTTGCCAGGGGGGCAACCAAAGTTAGGGGCATCTTGGTTGCCAGGGGGGGCAGCCCCAGTTCAGGGCCTCTTGGTTTCCAGGGGGAGCAGCCCCGAGTCAGGGCCTCTTAGTTGCCAGGGGGCGCAGCCCCGAGTAAATGCCTCTTAGTTGCCAGGGGGCGCAGCCCCGGTTCAGGGCATCTTGGTTGCCAGGGGGGGCAGCCCCGAGTCAAGGCCTCTTGGTTGCCAGGGGGAGCAGCCCCAAGTCAAGGCCTCTTGGTTGCCAGGAGGCGCAGCCCCGGCTCAAGGCCTCTTAGTTACCAGGGGGGGCAGCCCCGGTTCAGGGCCTCTTGGTAGCCCGGGGGGGCAGCCCCGAGTCCGGGCCTCTTAGTTGCCAGGGGGCGCAGCCCCAAGTAAGAGCCTCTTGGTTGCCAGGGGGGGCAGCCCCGAGTAAGGACCTCTTAGTTGCCACCGGGCCCGGCCCGGGTTCAGGGCCTCTTAGTTACCAGGGGGGGCAGCCCCGGTTCAGGGCCTCTTGGTTGCCAGGGAGCGCAGCCCCGGTTTAGGGCACCTTGTTTGCGGGGGGGCAACCCCGAGTCAGGACCTCTTGGTTGCCCGGGGGAGCAGCCCCGAGTCAGGGCCTCTCAGTTGCCGGGGGNTAGTTGCGGGGGGGGGGAGCCCCGGTTCAGGGCCTCTTGGTTACCAGGGGGGGCACCCCCGGTTCACGGCATGTTGGTTGCCAGGGGGGGCAGCCCCGGTTCACGGCATGTTGGTTGCCAGGGAGGGCAGCCCCGGTTCAGGGCATCTTGGTTGCCAGGGGGGGCAGCCCCAAGTCAGGGCCCCCTGGTTGCCAGGGGGGGCACCCCCGGTTCACGGCATCTTGGTTGCCAGGGGGGGCAGCCCCGGTTCACGGCATCTTGGTTGCCAGGGGGGGCAGCCCCGAGTCAGGGCCTCTTGGTTGCCAGGGGGGGCAGCCCCGAGTCAGGGCCTCTTAGTTGCCGGGGGGGGCAGCCCCGGTTCAGGGCCTCTTGGTTACCAGGGGAGGCACCCCCGGTTCACGGCATCTTGGTTGCCAGGGGGGGCAGCCCCGAGTCAGGGCCTCTTGGTTGCCAGGGTGGGCAGCCCCGAGTCAGGGCATCTTGGTTGCCAGGGGGGGCAGCCCCGAGTCAGGGCCTCTTGGTTGCCAGGGGGCGCAGCCCCGGTTCAGGGTCTCTTAGTTACCAGGGGGGGCAGTCCCGGTTCAGGGCCTGTTGGTTGCCAGGGGGCGCAGCCCCGAGTAAGGGCCTCTTAGTTGCCAGGGGGCACAGCCCCGGTTCAGGGCCTCTTGGTTACCAGGGGGGGCAGCCCCGGTTAAGGGCCTCTTGGTTGCCAGGGGGGGCAGCCCCGAGTCAGGGCCTTTTGGTTGCCAGGAGGAGCAGCCCCGAGTCAGGGCCTCTTAGTTGCCAGGGAGCGCAGCCCCGAGCAAGGGCCTCTTGGTTGCCAGGGGGGGCAGCGCCGATTCAGGGCATCTTAGGTGTCAGGGGGTCGGCCCCCGGCTTTGGCTCCTTAGTTGCCAGGTGGGTGGCCCCGGTCTGGGCCTTTTAGGGGTCAGGGGGGCGGCTCCCGGCTTGGGCTTCTTAGGGGCCAGGGGGGCGGAGCATTTTCTCCCTAAGAATATCGAATGGCATTGATGTAATTGGAACCCCGCTTCTGGAAGGCAATGATTCGCCTTCAAATGGCCGGGTATGCAAAATGACTGCCTTGACGCACGAATAGTGGTATCATAATTTTGCATTATGTTTATGGGCATATTTGAAGGCGCTCTTCTTTATCCATTGTGCATTGTGCCTTTACGACGATGTTGACCAAAAAGTTCATAAATTTGGGTTTTAAATCGAGCCGCACATTCGAAAGTTCCGTGGAATATTATTTTGATAAAATAATATGATTGTTTCTGGTCTCTACGTCTTATTTCAAAGAAGAGTGCGCAGGCGGCTGGATCAAATTTAGTATTTTATGTCCCTTGGTTTGGTCATAGTATTCTGAAGCAAAACTGAAAGAGTCGCCGTTTACAGGATCGCAACTCACTCAAAAGCGGTTGTGAATTTAAAAATTTTCCCATGGATAAAATGAGCTTTCGTAGATTAACTGTGAATAATCAAAATTGAAGAAAAGGTACTTTGTTCACTGGTCCATTAGGAAAGCGTGAAGCATGGATGGATGGAGCATGGATGACCAATTGAATCTTATCTGATGAGGAATTTTAAGTGCATGTGAAACCCTTTTTGAAGGCCGAACGGGATACTGGATTCACTTAACTGAATCCTTAAATTAAATGGAAACTCAAATTTACCACAAATCCTACTCAACCGAAAACCTGATCTAACTCTGCTAACCAAAACTTTACTCAACCGGTGATCTTACCCACCGGAAACTCAAATCAATCGACCAATCGTCCGGCCGAATTTTACTTAACCGGAAATCGACAACCGTAAACTCTGCTCGACCGGAAACGTGGTCCAATCGAAAACTTGACTCAACTAAAAATTTGGTCCAACCTGAAATCTGACCCATCCCAAAATTCCAATTCGCAGGAACCGTAATCCATCCGTATATGACTTGACCGAAAAGTAACCCAACTGGAAACTGTTTCCAACCGGTAACGTGTCCCTGTCGAAAATTTGACTCGACTGAAAATTTGATTCGATCGGAAATCTTAATTTCTACTCGACCGGAAATGTGCCCCAATCGAAAACTTAACTCAACTGGAAATCGAACCGACTGGAAATAAGTTCCAACCTAAAATTTGGTCGTTCTCGGATGGAGAATAACCAATTTCAATACCAATATATCAATCATTTTTCTAAAAATTCGCAAACATTCGATATAAGCGATTGATATTTCGACTCGTTAACGTTAAAAATCAACTCTACAAGAGAAAATACGTAGGTGTCGGTGTACTACAGTCATATTAGGTGCATTTAGTCATCCATGAATCAAAAATGAACAATTTCAATTTAAAAAAATCGTCGATTTTCCGTAAAAAATCTTAAAAAATCGATGTAACCGATCGATATATCAACTCGTCAACATTAAAACTCGATTTTGCGTGTAAAAATACATAGGAACCGGTGTGTATAACATGCGTAAACAACGATAACAACCCCGTAGACACATCAATTTAAGAAGAGAGTAGCGAAAAATAAGACCGGAGTTTGACCCCTTTGCCCCCCCCCCCTAACTCGAAAACGGTTCCTATACTCATCTTGAAATTTTTTCCTGAGTTTTCTGTTATTACAAGCTTCCACTTAAACTTTGGTTCGATGGTCGAATCAAGTACAGTGGACTCTCGATAATTCGAAATTGACGGGAATCGGCTTTTTATTCGAATTACCTAGCGAGGTTTCGAAATAAAGAGAGTTCGAAATAAAGAGATTCCATGTGGAGAAATTTCGAATTAGAGAGGTTCGAATATAGAGTGGCAAATGGACGGATTTACGCCAAAAATAACCACAAATATCAGTTTATTTTTTTACGGAAGTAAAAATTACACTAAGTTATTATTGATTATTAATTATTTATATTTAATCAGCTGTTTACTAATCAGCTGATTAAGCTTTTCGCGGGGAGACTGGACTTGTTTACATGTTGACAATCCTATCAGCTCTTTCAGACACCCAGGTACATAAACAGTTGACTTCGAATTGTAGAGGGAATGTACCGTCTTATTTCGAATTATAGAGGGAGGACCATATTTACTTTCCACACTTCGAATTACAGAGAGAATTTTCGTCGCAATTTCGAATTATAGAGGGCCGCGCCAGCTTAAACATTTCGAAATAGCGAGGGGAGAAAAATACATTGATTTTCTTCGAATTATCGAGAGATTTTCAAGGGAAACAGACTTTTCTTCGAATTAACGAGGTTTTCGAATTATCGAGGTTCGAATTATCGAGAGTCCACTGTACCGAAAAAGGGGCGAAATTTTGGGAGGCTCTTTGTTCAATAGATTGCACGGAGACACTTTCTCCATCCTCAATGTTTCCAAAACGCAAAACAATGTATAAAACACAAAAAATGTGTGTGTTTTTTCTTTTTCATTTGTTCACTTTTTTTTATCTTGAAAATAGCACAGACTATGCGGTCCCGTGAGAAGCCCTCGAGGCACTATCGAGAAGTCAAGGATGTTTCTCGGAAAGTTTTAAAATTTCGGGCACAAAAATGCCTCACTCGAAGCGTAAGTTGAGTAAAAAAGGAGGGTGGGAAAGGAGTTGGGGTGGGAAAAGAGTTGGGCTGGATTTTTTACGTTTTATTTCCACGGTGGGAACTTACCCGGTAAACAGCTAACAGCTTTCTCCTCGTCTGAGCACTTCTGGGTCAACCACAAGTAATCGAACCACTTGATAACTTTGACTTGCAAGTGGTTAGGCACTCTCCGCATTCGCATGTAAGTTTTCACCCCGTCCAGCTTGGCTGAAATAAATCAAACAAGTTCTCAGTTAGTCAGGCCCGCAGAAGAGAGCTTGTGGCTACGCCGGTTTCGCGCGGCCAACATTGAGTCCCCCCTCCTCCCCCCGCGATTATTCCCCTCATACCCCCTCCCCCTGTACCGACGGAAAATGCTCGACTCCATGGAATCAAGCGACGATATTCCTCCATTGGAAAAGCGGCATCGAGTATCACTGTAGTTCAGAAAACATATTTACGTGTTATTTTTCTCGAGAACTGTTGAATGTTGATGTGATAAGGGAAACCCCTGTATGAAAATTGTGAGTATTTTTGAAGAAAGTATTGTACATTTTTCCTTGAAATTTCCAGATCTTTTAGATTGATTACAAGCAAAATTGCCTGAACAACTTACAGATACACATCGACCATTTTTACAGTAATTCCGTATTTTTCAGAAGGAGATATGGAGACTTATACGGCGTTTTTCCTCAGCACGGCAGAATGAGCAATGAAGGTTTAAATTCGTCATTCCCCTCACGAAAGAACGCAACTACAATTCAATGCGCCAGATTTTTCCGCGCAACTTGCATTTAAACCAGGACAGTTTTGAGAATATCTAGCTGAAAATTTCACATTTTTTCTTCTGGTTTTCTGAACCCGAAGATCAGAAGTAAAATATGAAATTTTCAGATAGATATTCTCAAAACTCTCCTGATTTAAATGCAAGATGCGCGGAAAAATCTGGCGCATTGAATTTTAGTTGCGTTCTTTCGTGAGGGGAATGACGAATTTAAATCTTCATTGATCATTCTGCCGTGCAAAGGAAAAACGAAGTATAAGTCTCCACATCTCCTTCTGAAAAATAGGAAATTACTGTAAAAATGATTGATGTTTATCTTCAAGTTCTTCATATATCATACGTCATACATCATACATCATTTCCTACATAGCCACTAAAAATTAAATTTATACCGATTTTATCTTGGTTATTTTTCCATTTAATTTTTAAACATTTCCTCAAGGATGTGGTACAAACACTGTAAAGAAACCAAAATAAACCTGAGCGAAAATCTAGGACATTGCGCTGAGCCGATACGATTTGCTTCCCCAAATCATCATCGCGGTTGGGACTGGGGCTTTAGGTAGCAGCAGCCAGAGTCTCCAATCGGGGAAAAATTTCATAAAAAAAAGGAAAAGCATTTTCAGCCGCGGCTTGTCTATTTTACTGTAAGCAGATATTCAGTGGCGAGGCGTGAATGATCGATTATCGATATTTCCCCCATTTGAAGCTATGGTAAAAGATCGATTACTAAGATCTTCGTTGCGAACACCCTCTTAATCGATCCTTCTTCATAGGTTTAAATGACAGACATATCGAATAATCGCAAAGCACGCCACACCACTGAAGATGTTCCCGTCCGTGCAATCTCTCGCCGGCAATCCTGCGTGGAATGAAGATGTTGATTCCGAAATAACTCCTCAACTCTGCACAGCCTGTTTTATCTCCTTCCATAAAAATAAATTAAAAAATTTCACACCCTCCTGACGGCTCCTTGCCTGCCTCCTTGAAAATTTCATTATTCAAGAGACATCGGAGCGCTGTTGTCACGTTTCCATGGATTAAACCAAATTTTTCGGCGGTAACTTACGGAGGGGAGGGCAATTTTGTGTGTCATAAGGCAACACTGCAAGAAAGGTTACTCACGCGGATAAGTTCATATTGCATGCGTCCTAGTTTTTTTTTCTTCCCTCCATCCACTTGCGTCAATTTTTTTGGGACAAGAAAAAAATAAGAATAGAGTAAGCTTTAAAATATAGATAAAACATCTAATACTGATTTTAAAACCTCATTTTTTTTCCAACTGATGAGTATTAAACCCCTCTTTATTTACCAATTCCCTTGACTTTTCGAAAAATACGCATTTTCCAAGCTTGCAAACGCAAGCAATTTTTTTTCAATTTAAAAGTGAATATACATAAAATATACAGGAAGAGAAAGTGAACATGAGAATACCTAGCAAATTTAGCCGGAATAATGGTATCACTATTCATTTCCAATTTAAAACGGCCTAATACGCACATTTGATCCATTTATACCCAAGGAATCCCGTCGGCAAAACCTGACATGGAGCTGAAAATATTCTAACACGAAGATCGACCGTTCAATTTAAGTAATCGAAATTTATAATTCGCGTTCATATACATTCAGCTACATTTTAGAGTTTACATGAGAGAGTATTCAAGAAGAAACGGCTGAAATGTTCCTGGCGGCGTAATGAATCCGTTTTTTTGCAAAATTTGTTCGAGATTACGATATTTTTTACAATCAACGCAGATTCACCCTGGGATCTACTTTTGGGGCCTTCTTGTTATCGCACACGACCCTCCAGTCGATGGCCAAATAGCAAAGTCAGGTATCTTCGTTTGCGACGTTGCAGAAATCCGGTCATACTTTATACTTCCTTTGGAAAACTCTCTATTAGCCGAATATTCTGTGAAAATTTCAAACTGTGAAGTTGGCTTGTTTCTCTTCGTAAAAATCGAATGAGAGTCGACATTTTGAAGAACGGCAAAAGAGATACGTGGTTCTTCCCTTTGGTCATCGATATGTCAGAGTGCAAATTGGACGCATTTCTGTCAAACAGAACTATGTGCAATATGACGTGAGCCCTGGTGCGCATGTATTCTTATGGGTCTCAGGGCTCATGTCTTAAGGCACATAGTTCCGTTTGATGGAAATACGTCCAATTGGTGACGTGACTGGTCCACTGTGTCAATTCGAACAGAAGTCGCACACTTTTCCATGTTTTTTTCGAAACTGGACTTTCGGTGGTACGCCAATCTTCAAATACCCATTTCGATCTTGAATTTTGTGGACTCTGGACTGAGGATTTTCTTACCCCGGACAGTCATATATCGATGGCCAAAGTGTCAAACCACTTATCTCCTTCGCGGTGTTTCAAAATGTCTACCCTTATTTTGTTTATTTGAAGATATTCAAAGCTTGAAATTCACGCAGAATAGTCTGCTAACATGGAAGAAAAACTACGAAAGTTTTCAAGAAATTACATTGCCTAATTTCCCGAAGAAACAGTGAAGTATGACAGGAAGTGGTTCTGATCTTTGGCCACGGATACGGTAGAAAAGTTGCGCTGCACCTTTGTAGAGTCCCTTTATACTGAGAGTCAAGACCAACCCCCCCTCCCTCATGGAGTCACAAAAGGGAATAAATTTTACACAAATTGAAAGTTTTTCGTAATCTTTGATCACCGATTCTCCAATTCCTTTTTCCGTTCCCTCTCTCATTCCATTTGAGTCCGAACCCATAATTCCCCGGTCCATTCCAGATTATAATCGTTGCAATTGGTGAAAATGTAATCTTCATTCCCGTTTGTGACACTGTGGAGGCCTAAAATACGGGAACCAATGAGAAATGGATTCACATTGTCTTGACTCTCAGTATAAAGGGACTCTAGACCGTTGCAAGAAAACAGTGGTCTAAAAATGGTGTGGCTGGATACGACAACGTGGCGGGGACATGTAAATGGAAGCATTTCTGCCAAACGGAACTAAGTGCATTAAGACATGAACCCTGAGACTCATAAGAGTACATGCATAACAGGGCTCACGTCGTAAGGCACATAGTTCCGTTTGATAGGAATACGTCTAAATGTAAGAGGCTGAGCCGTGGTAATCCGGTGACCGTTTTGAGGAAGATTGAGCGTGCGCTGATTGTAAGCTGACGAGTGTGAGTGCTTGAGCCGGGCTTAAAAGCAAGACGCCAGCGCCAGCACATATTTTTTGCCCATTTGTACACGCGGATCCGATGAAAACTATCCAGAGACAAATTACAGACCGATACTCCCCGGCCCCCGACCAGAGCCAGGGTTCAGAAATCCCCACCGGCTTGCCAAGTTGTTCAAATTTTGACGCGTTTAAAACTCGCGTATTTCTTTCTTCACGGAAAAAATGGACTGCTGATTTAACAATTAAATTCTTAAAAAATATATCCGACAAGTTTTAAATCGACGGTGAAATTACCAGACCACGTATCTCGTTTGCGTTGTTTAAAAAATTTATTTTTTTGGAGGAGAACAAATCAGTATCATTTCTCTAAACTTTCACAGAATTGTCTTCGCATAGAGAGGAAAAAACACGGGAGTTTTCAAGAATTGACGTTGAGTAGCTATTCGCTAAAAAAATGAACCCTGGTAAAAATTGGCAGTAGAATCTGTGTTCCAAAATACCACAGACCTACGGCCGGCTGTAAGATTTCCAATAGCCTCTACAGCCGGCTACACAATTTCTTATAGCCTTTTATAGCCGATGGCGACTAGGCAACAGCCAGGCGATCAAGTGTATGCTAAACGGCACTAATTACGGATGCTAGGACTTGGTGAGTTTTTGGAATACTGCTCTTTTTGGGCCGTAGTATCTTGATTTATTTTGCGAGGAAAGCTCCGTACTTTTGATGGATGCCTGCCATTCCTAATATATTACAGCGCCTCCAGTTTCGTATGATACTGTGCAATACCTCTGGTGTGAAATAGTTGCTTCAAGCGCCGTGGCCCGCCTGCGCCTGCCTATTGAGCGATCCTATTGGTTGAAACGGGTAGCTCTTTTAGACTAAAGGGGAAAATGATAGATTAACTGAAGGATCTCCTGTCGGTTGTCTTCAGGTCAGTCTATTACTTAACTTCTTTGTCCATTACAACCACCCGTTTCCACCAGTTGGATCGCCCCATAATGCCTCCGACTTACATGTCTATCACTTTATCTATCAATTTCATTAATCAGCTCGCAAGCATTCTGTTCGTTTCTTTTCAGCCTTGGTAACCCTTGGTTGGTTCTTGTATTTTGTTTCGTAAACAGCACGATCTGATCATAGTATGTACCAGGACGATCTCGACACAGTAGAGCGAACTCATCGTATGTTGATGCCGCAATCACACGCTGAATGTGGCTTGAATGTGGAAGTCATCGGCCCGATGGCTGAATTTTGCGCGCGACGCGCAAAATTCAGC